CTGCCTCTCCGAAATAAAAAAAATGGTTCACCTCCAACTTCCTTAAACTTGATGATAGTAAAACTGAACTTCTCCTGGTCAGTACCAAGTCCAACATTGGCAAAATTGACAGCTTCTCCATAACCATTGACAACACCACGGTTACCCCCACCCCTCAAGTGAAGAGTCTGGGTGTCATCCTCGACAGCTCTCTCTCGTTTCAGGCTCATATCAATAACATAACTCAGTCTGCACACTTTCACCTCCGATCCATAAATCGTCTCCGCCCTTCCCTTACGTCTAATGCTACAGCCATCCTAGTCAATAGCCTTGTTCCCTCCCACCTTGATTACTGTAATTCACTTCTGTATGGTCTCCCTGGCACACTCACTCATAAACTCCAACTTGTTCAGAATTCAGCAGTATGTATTATTAGTAGAATGGACACTTTCCACCACATCACCCCGGTCCTCCAGCAGCTTCATTGGCTTCCCATAAAATTCAAATCCATTTTCAAAATTCTACTCCATACATTCAAGCCATCCATTCCATATCCCCTCCATACATTGCCAGCCTCATTACCATTGCCACACCCTGCCGTTTGCTCAGATCTTCCTCCTCCATCCATCTGGGAATTCTCTCATTCCACCTCAGCACCATGGGTAGTAGGGCTTTCAGCTGCTCTGTAACCCCGTCTCTGGAACTCTCTCCCTCCTGACATTAGAAACACTGATAGCTTCAACCTCTTCAAAACCAAACTAAAAACCCATTTGTTCCGAACCACTTACTGTTTGTGATTTCATCTATTTTATTCAGTTTTACTCTGTTTACTTGTCCTTTAGTTGTTTTATCTGTATTTTTATTGTGCACCGTGTTCCTTCTCCTGTAAAGTGACCTTGAGTGACCTGAAAGGCGCTTTTAAATAAAATGTATTATTATTATTATCAGCTTTTCTTATACTTCACTTTCACCATAAACACTTTCCTGATACACTCAAATGAACTCCCTAAGTAACAGAAAAGTGACCAATCTTATAGAAAATAAAAAACACATTCATTACTCACAGATTATGGCTCAACAAACTCCCCAATGACTGAAACTGGGCTCAGAGAAGCGAAGCGTGTTGTCTCCTCCAACCATTTTCTACACTGCCTGCCCCAACTTTGCCTGCTGCTTACATCACATCGCCACCGGGGGCAGTGTTACGCTCAGAAAACAACTGAAGAAGAAGTCACAAAACTCTAAGGGTACTTACTGGCCCCCTGGTGGCGAACTGAGAGATGCACCAGTAAACAGAAAACTAATAGAGTACCAACAGAGGGGCAGAATACTCCCCGCCTGACATCCGTGGAATGTCATCCCCATTCCCATGTCATCATCATCTAACTTGTAAAAACAAAATGCAAAGAAACAAAGTTTCTGTGTGTAAGTACAATCCTTAGATACTATTAACACAACCTCACTAATAGGCCTCATGTAGTACCTGTGTTCACCCTCGTGGAAAATCTTCACCTCTATTTTCCTTACAAGCCCATCCTCACTGGGGTAAATGTTGGTGATGAGTCCAAGGGGCCAGTTGCTCCTATGTTTGAGCGACTCTTTTGGAAGAACATCTCCTGTTTGTAGCTTAGGCTTTACAGTTTTCCATTTGCGGCAGTCTTGAAGTCCTGAGATGCATTCTTTTTTCCATCGTCCCCAGAAGACATCCACGAGGTATTTTACCCACCTCCATTGAGCTTTGAACAGATCACTCTTTTTCAAACTGATCTGGTGGGACTGGTGGAGTCCCATCCTAATCTTAACCAGTTTGTGCATGCAAAGCTCTGATTGTTGACGTGCGCTCCAGACATCTGCTTCCTGAGCACCGCCAAATCAGGTGTCACCACCTCAAAAACAAATTAAACACGCGATCGTTCATGTCGGCTCATTTCCTTTAATGTTTTCTGTCTGTTATTTGTGCCTGATGCATTTCACTGCTGCAGAGCGAGGCGCATCACCTGTTGTCCTCCGGTGACGCACCCCCAAGATTCCACTATCTCCACTCCGCTCCGGCATGAACTCCGCAGCAAAAACGGTCCCGTTGTAGTCGGCCGGCGAGCAGCGGCACTCCACTGCTTTAGCGGTCGGTAGATCTTTTAGAACTGCAGTTCAAAGGTAACTCATAAGGTGAATATATATGAACCCAGGTAGCAGTTTTTCTTTAGGATTGAGAGGAGATGCAGGAAGATAATAAACAGACAGGACAGAAAAATAGTCAAATAAAAACAAGTTAGTTTTTGTACCTGGTGGTTGCAACAGACACCATTGAAGGTAATCAGAAGTAAGGAACAGAAAATGAAATAATTATTTTAATGTTTAGAGCAGCAGGAACTCGGAGAGGCTGCAGGCGCATCAGTGAGTTTGCGGCTGCTGCGCAGGGGGAGGGGGGGAGGACTGAAGTAGGATGCAGAAACTACCGTTGTTAAAAGAAATGTGTTAACTTAGAAAATGTGGGCGCAATTTTAATTGTCAAAAACTCCAGCGAACCTACCGACACCCCCCCACCCACCCACCCCGCCGCCGCTTCCGGCGTATAACGTCATCAACGACTAGTCGAAGTCGACTCCACTTTCATTACTTGACTGTCGACTTTAAAAAAAATAAAGTCGTGCAGGCCCTAGCAGGCACTGACAAAATTTGTTCCATAATCGGACCCAAGAAGCTTGACTGCACCTCTGATAGTGAAAAAGCGACGCAGAGCATTAATGAATGACGTGTCCATTGATTCTATGACTTCAATGTGAATGGCACGTGTGTTCATGCACGTGAATATGTCTGCCCATAGTTTTGCATCCACTCATCCATGTGTTTGACAGGCCAGGGATCGAACACATCAAGTCCTACATATGTAAAAGGAGGTTCAGTGGACAGTCTGTCCTCTGGTAGCTCAGCCATGTTCTGTTCCTGCCATCTGCCTCTTAGTTTTCGACATGTGACGCAGTTGAATATCACTTTGCTTATTGTTCTTTTTCCTCCCACAGTACAAAAGCCTGCAGCTCTGACTGCCCCTTCAGTAAAATGTCTGCCCTGATGGCATACTTTCACATGGAAGTATCTTATAATAAGCTGGGCAAGGTGGTGTTTTGCAGGGATGAGGATAGGATTAGTTTCATCTAGGGTTGTCACAGTAACCGGTATAGCGGTAAACCCCGGTAAAAAAGTTGACAATAAAAATAACCGTCCAGTTTTTAAAAAACTAAATTATCTCGGTGGGTTTACCGTGGCCGCGGTTTTGGCGCGGTGACCCTTACCAGCCACCGTCGCTTCAGCTGAAGTTCCCGCGGCGCGCACACGCACTTTTTAGTTTGCAACGGCACCAAAACTTTGAAGCTGAAATAATGGCCGAAGGAGGAGACGGCAGCGCCCAGGACATCCATCAGCCCTCAAAGAAGACTAAATCGGAAGTATGGGCATATTTTGGATTTCTGAAAAATGCTGAGGGACAGTTAATAGAAGACTGCTATCCCGTTTGCAGAACGTGCAGGAAACAAGTGTCTGCAAAAGGCAGCAACACTTCGAATCTAATGGCACATCTGCGTGACCATCACCCACGTCTCTACAGCTGGTGCAAGGTAAGTTAACATTAGCATTTTAGCTTAAATGCATGACGTGAGGACTTTTGGTTGAGGGAGAATGCAACGAGTCACTATTTACTGCAGCCGCAGCGTCCTCTGCCAGCATTTAAACCGTGTCACGGACACCCTGTTGCTGGATGAAGCATCTTATTTGTTGATGAAGAGAAATATACACTTAGTTCCTTGTCATTGATTTGTTTACTTATTCAATGCCATTCATACTTGAACATTTGGATTTGATTACATAGTGTAGTAGTTATTTTAGTAATTTGTTTAAAGTGGCTATTTGTTTTAATACATATTTTTTAAGGTTGACTTGTACAGTGCTCAAGTCAAGTGTGGACTGGAGTTTTAGATTTTCATTTTGATAATGAAGAAAACAAGTGGTGTTTCTTTGATTTGTTTACATATTGTTTATGTTTTGAATGTTTGGATTTGTATAATTTAAACCTGCACTGACTACTGTAACATGTTCCAGAAAAAGAAGCTATTTGTTCCTTTACTTGTGAAAAGTTGCACTTTTGCTAAGGCTTTGTGTTATTTTAGGTTTAATAAACATTGTTAAACCTTTTCAAAACTATTTCAGTTTGTGTAGAGCAGGACTATCAATGCTTTCTGAACATATGCAACACCGTTTAAAAAATACCGCGATAATACCGAAAACCGTGATAATTTTGGTCACAATAACCGTGAGGTTAAATTTTCATACCGTGACAACCCTAATTTCATCTGAAGTCAACTGGGTTCTTCTGAGTCTCCCACCCACTCTGAAGATTCCATCTGAGTCCAGAAATGGGTTCAGTTTGCTAAGTGGGCTTGACCTCTTGAGGGATGTTCCCCTTTCGAGCTGTCTTATGTCTTCTGCGTAGACTTCTCATTGGACAGTGCGAATTATAGTGGCCTTAGCTTGATTAAACTGCTTTCGGTTAAATGCTCACAACAGCTGTGCCAGCCCTGACAGGAGCCTTCTTTGTTCTGCTTAAAGGACTGGGCAATGTGTTGGAGTTTTGATATAGCTTTTAGTAGTACATTCCAACTTGAAAGTCTTTAGAATCTGACACCACTGAGAACGTCCTTGGAGAGAGTGGTAACACTAGTAGTTACCTCGTGACGCAGTTTGTTGTCAGTCTCGGGGTCTACAAGATCAAAAGACGCTGCCTGAGATTGATACATTCCTGTGGTAAGGAAAGCGGGTCCACTGAGCCATGTGGAGGTAGAAAGCTGCTCAGCTGGTAGTGCGCGCGTGGCGTGATCAGCAGGATTTAAGTGAGTGGGCACATAATGCCACTGGTGGGCTTTTTTAGATCGCCTAATACGTTCCTCCCTGTTGAGCACATAGGTGTAAAAGCACCTCTTTGTGTTGAAAATGTAACCAAGGACTACTTTGGAATCTGAGTAGAAGCTCACCTGGTCAACTGTGATGTCCAGCTCCTCCATGACTAACTCAGCTACTTCAACAGCCAGGACCGCCGCGCAGAGCTCCAGTCTGGGTATAGTGATGTCTGGTCTTGGGGCAAGCCGCACCTTGCCGAGAAGGAAGCCCACATCACCGTGTCCATATCTGTCCGTGAGTTTAATGTAGGCGATGGCGCCAACTGCCTTAGTGGAAGCATCACTGAAAATATGAATCTCCTTAGTTGCTGCTGCAGACAAGGGTATTGCGGTGAACATTCTGGGGATTTCCAGTTGTTGTAGATGTTTGAGGGAATCTTTCTACTGCTGCCACCATTGTAGTTTTTCTTTAGGGAGTTCGGTGTCCCATTCACCAATGTCAGTGGAAATTTCCCTGAGTATGACCCTGCCCTCTACAATGACATGGATAGCAAAGCCAAGCGGGTCGTACACACTATTAACGACTGATAGTACTCCACGTTTGGTGAAAGGCTTCTCACTGACTGTTATCTGAAACTTGAACAGGTCTGTGGACAGGTCCCAGCCCAAGCCCAAGCTTCGCTGCATGGGTGGGGTAGTCTGCCCAAGGTCAAGGCCCTGCACGCCAGAGGCGAGGTGCTTCACTTGGAAACGCATTCGTGATGGTAGGACAGTTGGATGAGATTTTATGCAGGCATATGTTACACTGGGCCAGCATTTTCTGAGCCCTACAAAGAATGTCGATGGCTTCATCTGTGGAAGGAAATGATTTTAGTCCATCGTCCACATAAAAGTGGCGTTCAATGAACTCTCTTGCACCGCTGCCGTGTTCTTTTTCTCCCTCCATCGCTGTCTGTTTCAGCCCATAAATAGCCACGGATGGGGATGGGCAGTTCCCAAAAACATGGACTCTCATCCTGAATTCTTGCACTTCTCCATCCAGATCATGGTTCTTAAACCACAAGAAACGAAGGTAGTTGCGTTGGTCCTCTCTGACAACAAAGTTGTCAAACATTTGCTCCACATCAGCCATGACTGCGTATGGGTCAGACCTGAAATGCATCAGAACTCCTACAAGAGTGTTATTGAGATCTGGCCCTTTCAGTAGTAGGTCATTGAGAGAAACATTATTGTGTTGCGCACTTGAATGAAAAACCACCCTAATTTTCCCTGGCTTTTGAGGATGGTAAATGCCAGAACTAGGGAGATACCAACATTCTTGTTCTAGAGTGAGAGCAGGAGCTGGTTCAGCGTGGCCTTTACTGAAAGTTTTGTTCAAAAAGTCAATGTAATGCTCCTTCATTTCTGGTTTCTTTTTCAGCGCTTTGCGGAGCGACATTAAGTGACTGAGGGCTTGGTCCCTATTGTTGGGTAAACGCTGTCTGGGGGGGGCGGAATGGGAGCGGAGCCACCCAGCTTTCTCCTCATCTTTGGCCAAGTTTCTGTGCATGATATCCAAGAACAAAACATCTTCTACTGAAAGAGCCGCTTTGTCGTCATCTACTGTTTGCTGGAAAATGTGTCTTCCTAATTCCTCTTGAGTCTTTTCACATATTGGACATCTTTCTACGTATTTCTTTGATATAGATGTTGTTTTCATAGGGGCTTAGTAAGGTAGGACGCCATTATCAAGAATCTCTGTCCAATGAGTTCACTGTGGGTTTGTGGGCACCTGAGAGGCAGACATAATCAATAATCACCCATCCCAGATCAAGGCGTTGGGCATACGGTGCACTGTTTGCGCCGTTTACCTGACAGCGGACCTTGTGAGCTTGAATGACGCCCCGCCCCAAAAGAAGGAGAATGCCTGCAGCTGGGTCCAGAGGAGGGATCTGCGAAGTGAGTGCCTGTAGATGAGGGTGAGCCGACACAGCCTCAGGGTTGGTATCTCGCCTCTATTATCTGGAATTTGATCACACTCTGTCAGTGTGGGCAGCAACATGGGCACTTTCCCATTTACATCCTGAATAACAAAATCAGTAGCTCTGCGTCCTCCCGCCTCTGATTAACCTGCACATGTTTTCATGGTGTATGGGAGTATTGTGCCTTTAACATTAAAAATATCAAAGAAAGCAGACCTGGCTAGGGATGAGTTGCTTTGATCATCCAACATGGCGTACATCCTCCTTTTCCCTTTAGGGTTTGTGCGGGGATACACGTCAACCAAACAAATCTTAGAGCAGGATTTACCTTTGAGGCCTGAGCCAAACATCTCTGTGCAACTGGTTGTGGTTACAGGGCTTGAACAATCAGGCTCCCCACCGTGGCTTTGAGGCAGGAGGTTAGAGTCGTTGGTTGTCCACGGAGGTGGACCAGCATGCATTGCAGACACGTGAGCATCACGATTACATTCTGAGCATTGTATGATGGCTTTGCAGTCCTTAGCTCTGTGACCTGTGGAACAGCAACACTTATAACAAATAGCATGTTATTTGAGGATGCTTTTCCTTTCATCTAGTGCTTTTGCCCTAAATCCCCTGCATTTTGTGAGTGAACGAGGCTTGTGGTGAATAGGACATTGTTTTTCTGGACTATGACTAGACGTCTGAGCCGTGATGTTTGTTTGACTAATATCTGTTCTGTTCACTGCAACTGGAAGTCTGTATTTAATTGGTTTCTCCAGTGGCTTATCAACTTTTGGAGCTACCATGTTTGAACTTTATAACATGAAGCTTGGATCTGTTTTCATTTCAGCATAATCATTTATAAACTGAACAAAATATGAGAAAGGTGGGTAAACTGCACCATTGTCCCTTTTGTACCTTGTCCCCTGTTTCACCCACGACTCCTGGAGTCCATAGGGGAGTTTTTCAACGATTGGATTTATCCCCCATGGGGTGTCCAGAAAGCTAAGACCTGGCAGATAATTCTCACTTTGTGCATACTCTAACTCCAGCTGGAGATCTGCAAGCTCTTGCAATAAGTGAGTGTCCTTATTAGATATTTTTGGAAATGACTGTAATCTATGAAAAAGTGACACTTCAACTACCTCTGGAGTCTAGACGTTGCCACAAACGTTTGAGACCTGCTTGTGGGTTGTTCACATGGACCGTCCTGATCCTCAGAGCGTGTTGGAGCGATTCACCGCTGAGCCAATTGGTGAGGGGATCGAGCTCTTCGCTGGACTTGAGGTTGAGGCCTTCTGTGGCGTTGCAGAAGATAGACTTCCAGGGCAGGTAAGACTCAGGACAGTTGTCGAAAACCTTGAATCCTGCTGTTAGCAGGTCATGACGTGCTATATAGGCTGTAAAATCTGACAGTTCAGTCTGTGGAGCCACTGAAGGTTTAGGTTGGGTTGAAATATCATTTTTTCTGTGTGTAGGAGGTGTCTTTGATTGCTTCTGATCTACAAAATCAATGAGATGATCACCTGGAGGGGAGCCAACTCATGTTGCACTCTGCTGTAGATGCTGAGAGTAGTCATTACTGACCAGCTGTCCTGTGTTGGGCTTTCTGTCTTCATTAACTTCCAAGCCAATGTTGGCAAAGTGAGCATTCACATAATCTTGAGTGCGTCTGATGGGAGGTGTTTTAGAAATTCCTTGTTCTGTGACGTCAACGGCGTTGTGCTCCTCATCAGCCGCCACTTCCAGGACATGAGCTGCGGCGAGCGCTGCTTCAGCCTCGCCCTCTATCTTTAGAGCATTTAGTGTTGCCTCAATGCGTGCTTTCTCCTCCATGTCGATCTGGCGTTTGGCGTACTGTGCTCTGGTGCGGGCAGCTTCTGCCTTTGCTCTGGCTCAGGCTGCAGCTTGACTGGTGGACGAACAGCGTGAAGAGCGTGAGTGGCACTCTGATCGGACCACCATCTGGGAGAGCGGTGGTGAAGCTTCATGCTGCGACATCTTGGGTGCTTGTTAGGTAGGTAATCTTTTTACTCTGCTGCCCTCAGTTGAATGTGTGGCTATTCAACCTATGCAGCAAGCTACGCATAAGAGAAGGTGGTTCCAGAAACGAAAGTACACATCTTTGTCTTTGTGTCTTTACTGAAGACTGTTTTTCCTCTTTTAACTTGTACAACTGTGAACATACAGCGAAACAATACATAAGCATCAGTATTGACTTATTTAGCAACCAAAAACAGAAGTTAACAACATAGCTTTTCTTATACTTCACTTTCACCATAAACACTCTCCTGATACACTCAAATGAGCTTCCTATGTAACAGAAAAGTGACCAGTCTTATAGAAAATAAAGCAACACATTCATTACTCACAGATTATGGCTCAACAAACTCCCCAAAGACTGAAACTGGGCTCAGAGGAGTGAAGCGTGTTGTCTCCTCCAACCATTTTCTACACTGCCTGCCCCAACTTTGCCTGCTGCTTACATCACATCGCCACCGGGGGCAGTGTTGCGCTCAGAAAAATAACTGAAGAAGAAGTCACAAAACTCAAAGGGTACTACTGGCCCCCTAGTGGCGAACTGAGAGATGCACCAGTAAACAGAAAACTAATAGAGTACCAACAGAGGGGCAGAATAAGTGCATTGTAACATCATTGATGCTCGTGAAACCTCTCAGACTGTTTTCTGTTGAATTCAGTGCTTGTCTAACACAAGGAGGCCTCATGTTAGAAACCATTTATGCAAAGAACAACTTGAAACTCCTGGGTGAACACACACTCAGGAAAGAGGCAAAAAGCACAGCTTTTGTTTTGTTACGTACCCTTCAAAGAACTCTCTGACGGGTACAACGTGTCTCCAGCTGAGAAATGAGCTTATGCAGACACCTCCGATCAGTGCAAAAGATTTATGCCAGCTGAATGAACGCCATTCCTTAGTGGAATGCATTAGTGAGTGAGCAGAGGAATAAAGATGACTGGATTTAGGGTTGTGTTTGGGATCGGATTAGAGGCTAAACCCCACAGTGACTGACAGCATAATAAGCCCCAAAGATTTTCCAATACTGTAATAACTATATCAGTATTTCACTGGCATTGGTGCATATGAATATTTTCAAGGCATTATTTGACATTTTTCTATGTCTTGTACTTTAATTATATTTCACATTATTACATTTGTATGATTTTGCCCATATAACAAACCTTTAGAAATGTCACCACTTTCTAAGCCTTATTTTTCCCACCAAACCTATCAGTTTTCTCTCTCTCTCTCCGTCACTTATCGCTGTGCCCTTGGCTGTCATTACTCGGGGGGGGGGGGGGGGGGGGGGGTCTTTGATGGGTGCTGTGATGGAAGCTGATTGACAGACTGAGTTGATTTCCACACACTAATCATGACATCACTGCTAAAATGATTTAATTTTACATCAGATCAGATCAAAGCACCCTGATTAAAGCAATAAGAATAAAAGACACAGTGATCTGGATGAATTTTGTTTGTATCGTTTTCAGGTGGCCTACAGTTTTGATTTATTATGAGGTAATTTAACAAAGAATGTCCCTAGCTCCCGCTGTAAGTCCCGCGGGGAGCGCGCTTTTTCAGTTTGTGCACCGGAGCTCTGGAACCACTTGCCCCTCCTGATCCGACTCTCTTCCTCTCTTTCCCTTTTTAAGTCTCGTTTAAAAACTCACTTTTGTTCTCTGGCTTTTAATTCAGTCTAACTTATTCTCCTTTTCCTCTTCTTTTCTATTTGAATTATTCGATTTTAATGGATTTAGTTTTTATTTTTGATTGCTTTTATTATGTGTTTTTGTTCAGCACTTTGGTCGGCTCTCATGCCGTGTTTAAATGTGCTACAAATAAACGTGGTATGGTATGGTAAAGAATAAACTTAAACAACCAAAATTAGTCTTTTCTAAATTCTATGCAGTAATTGAGAAATTTGATCCACAGAGGATTTTGTGAAAGCAAGGGTCACTGAGAAACACATAATACTTGTTCTTTATCAAATATGATTCACGCTGAGTTTCACGTGCATGCCAAACGTGAAAAGAGTCTTCAACCACCATTCACTGCTGACAGAAAATAAACGGGGAAATGCTGGGGTCAGCAAAAGCCAGACTTCTTTTTGTCAAATTATTAAATGAGCTTTTGTGGACTCACCAACTTTTGCTCGCCACCACAGAAGATTGTGTTGATTTTGCGACCAGGAAAGAGCAGAGGTTGTCTCGGCTAGTGGAAGCTAACCGTTAGCATTAGCAGCAACATGGCATAACTCCTTCAGACTTCTGTTATATGTGGAAATAAAACATCAGTGTTGCGTTTTTTTTTTTACCCGAAAACAGGCAGCGGCTAAGTTGCTTTGCTGTTAGCCAATCAGAGGTCAGATGTTCACACACCATAAATTGTAATAATTAAAATGAGATTCTAAATCCTGCCATTTTGCAACCCCCACCCCACCACCACCACCACCACCACCGTGGTGCAGGCACTGCTAGCCGACGATCCTGTGATGACCGGAGCGGCCGGGCCGAGATGTAAGCCTTTGCAAGAGGATTCAGGTAGATGGGAGCCGTACCATCTCGGACTTTGTATGCTAGTGTTAGCAATTTGAATTTGATGCAAGCTGCTAGCGGTAGCCAGTGGAGCTCAATGAACAGAGGGGTGACGTGTGCTCTTTTTGGCTGATTGAAGACCAGACGCGCCGCTGCGTTCTGGACCATTTGAAGAGGTCTCACAGTACAGGCTGGAATACCAGTTAGAAGGGCATTGCAGTAATCGAGGCGGGAGATGACAGCAGATTGCACCAGGAGCTGGGTGGCATGTTGTGTTAGTTATGGTCTGATCTTTCGTATGTTATACAGCGCAAAGCGGCATGAACGAGCAACAGAGGCAACATGATCTTTAAAGGTCAGGTGTTCATCAATCACAACACCCAGATTTCGAACTGCCTTTGAAGGAGCCAGAGATAGGAAGTCATTTTGGATTGAGATATTGTGCTGTATGGATGGATTTGCTGGGATGACAAGTAGTTCAGTTTTAGAGAGGTTGAGCTGGAGATGGTGGGGTTTCATCCATTTTGATATGTCAGAGAGACAGTTTGATATTCGTGCAGAGACAGTGTGGTCGTCCGGTGCAAATGACAGATAGAGCTGGGTGTCGTTTGCATAGCAGTGGTAGGAGAAGCCATGTGATCAAATGATCTCACCCAGTGAGGTGGTGTATATGGCAAAGCGAAGAGGTCCTAGTACAGAACCCTGGAGTACTCCTGTGGCAAGATGATGCATGGTAGAGGATTGTCCAAGCCAGGATACACTGAATGATCGTCCTGTGAGGTACAATTCAAATCCCAAGTTTATATCTCAACTTGTTGAGCAACAGCATAAAAAAACTCACTGATAAGAAAACCATCTAAGGTAAAAATGCAGAACAAAGCAGTAAAACAAACTCACCTGGTGATCTTTTTTCTTTACACATTTCACAGATAAATCTAGTCAGTTCAAATTGCACCAGAAAAACACTCACACTGACACTGTTGTAGAAGAGAGAAAAAAACAACATCTGGGTTCTAATGAGATGAGCAGAAACCTGTAAACAGGCCAGTGAGGAACATCTGATGATCCTATTGGCCAGAAAGCAGGATAGGCAGAAGCAGCTGGCAGTGAAACAACAGGAGAGTTGAGCTGAAGAAACAAACAACCTGCTAGTTTGGGACATGCAATGCATTTGGACTTGAGTTGATTTCATTCATTAAAACTAAAGAAATTTGTGAATTATTTCCAAAATTGTTCACAGTTTTCTATATGACCCAAACCCCCTACCTCTACAACTAAAAAGTGTCACTTCTAAAGAAAAAAACATGTAACACCCTCCATCGTTAGCTCTCATTTCTTTCTCTGTCTCACTGCTTTTATCTCCCTGACTTATCACATGACTATTTTGCACTATAAATAGCATTTCCTTCAAATCATCGTCTCACAGAGGGATGAGGAGAATTAAACCTAAACAACCACGCCAATGCCTGAGAGGCAAAAGGCCAGGATTTCACCTCCAAGCCTCGACGCTAATCAAGATGACAATATTTACAAAAAACTGCGCCCAGATCCTCACAGCAGTTCTGTCATCTCTGACATTTCCCATTTTCCATCTTGTTATCTGCTGCCTTTTGTTGACATTCCCAAAGCCTCACGTGTGGAGCCAGAAACAGTCGAAGGAGGATCTAAAAATAGCCGCGGCGCACAGCTGAGCGTGCCCACTATGAGTGAGCACGTTTTTAATATATCCTCATTAAAAATGCATGAGATTAACTGTTCCAGACTTCACTTTTTGGATGAGTGACAAGCATTGTTTTGAAATTCATCCTCTTTGTGCACCTACAGCCTAAATCTATTGTGGGTTTCAGGAAAAGGAGTGAAGGACACCAGCTGGACTAAAGCAGATATTAGACAAATTAAATCCCTCATTCAGAAATACAAGCACGTGCAAGTGAATATCAAGTTTGCAAGGCTTTACCTCTTAAATTAGGAGGCAAAACTTCTGTTTACAGCTGGTCTGATTCTGATATTAACAGCTGTCATTTTGGTTCCAGAGGTTTATAGCAAGCTTGCCCTACAGCATCTCTGCACATGTTATTTTTCTCTGTGCAATTCTCTTTGCTCTGTGAAGGATCTTTGGGGAAAAATGCTTTTGTGCAGCTTTTTTCTATTTGAACTGTGTTCACAGCCCTTTGATGATTTGTGCTGGTGCCATTAATTTAACCACAGGTCATTAGTCATGAACCCTGCACACTGGGCAGTATATGTCACAACCGATGCTCCCAACTTCAGCCAGAAGTCAG